ACCTTACAAAAAAAATATTTCTAGAGCTTTTTTGAGGTACATCCGCTCTAACCATCTGCTTTCTTCCACACACGCCCCCAGGCTGATTACTAACGTGAACTAACATCCATGAGATGCAGTGGCACTGAGATACACGTCTTTGTAGAAATATAATGATTTTTAAACATACGTATTAAAAGGAATGGTAAATAGCTATGAACAGCATTACGTGGGGGATGAGGAGTTATTTGCTGATTTGGAGACTTAATCCAGAATTTTTTTTTCCAAATGCAGCAGCCAAGAATTTGAAACCTCTTGGTTGGCCTCCCATGAGTCAGTGTTTCTCCTATTGATCTCAGTGCTCTAATGCAGGGGGAGGAGGGGGATATGGTGATATGCAGGAATGACCCAGCTGCTGGAATGCAGCCTGTCAAGCTAGGGCAGCATGCTGCTTGAGTGACCCTTCTTGTTACTTGTGTGTTTATGAAAATTCAGAAATTCCACATACTCGACGTGGCTAGGAAAGCATGGTGAATGTCGGTGTGCACTTGCAGATGAGTACCCAAACGTGGTCAAGTATTGCAGAAATTCGAGTTTGTATGTGGCACACACAAAGTGCAGCTGATTGGATTTGATTGTCAGGATAAATCTCTTCATGGGTTCTCTTGAGGTGCCCTTGGAGAATGTTGTGCTACTCTTAGAAGGTCACTGTTCTAGAAATTTTGAACAGAAAACATCAAAAACTTAAAAAATCTTAACAGCTTTTTTCATGCAATTAAGCTATTAAGAAAGCACTCAATATGCTTAATTTTCTGAATGGTGACTAAAATTCCTACTTATTTCACTAGGCTAGCAGTTCTATTTGGAGGATTCGGCTACTATAATAGCACAGTGTAAGATTGTTTGCAAGCTTTTTCAGACCTTTTTTCTTTTAAGTACAGAAGTTAGTTTTAGTCATCTAATGAAACTACTGAACAATCCCTATCCTTTAAGGCAGGAGCCTGGGAATATATTAATCTGCCCAGAGAAGCTGAGTAACTCATCTGCATAAATGACTGACTTTACCCATTTAGGACTGAGCACATGCCTATTACCAAGGTATTTCATTAGCCCTAGGCATGGTTTGAGAAGCTAAAAGCCAGAAGAGTCTTTGGTCCTCCTGAAAATTGGGTTGGGGTCATACCTAAATGCTGTTCTAAAGGCGGTATTTTGAAAGGATCCCACTATTGCTGATACTAGAATTCCAAACTGTAAGGGCAGCAGCAGCAAGAATAATTCCCTTGGGTATGAAAAACGACTGCAATAGGTTTAAAATAGTCTCACTTTTGAATTGCTTTCATGTCTTTAAACACAGCTGAAATACTAGCAAAGGTAAAAGTAAAATAAATCCCGTTATTTTGTCTCTACTCTGAACATGAGTTGCTAAGGGAAGCAGTTGGAAAAGAAGCTTTAATACAGTGCTATTTTGGTTGAAATTATGCTTGTCAGTGTTCTTACTGTTAACATGCATTAGGAAAGTTAAGGGTTTATATAATGAGCCCGTTAAAGTTGAAGTTCAAGCTGCTTCACCATACTGTGTTTTTCTTGATGCACAATGCCAGCTTCTAATGTATCAGAGTACACAAATGTTCCAGAGGCTGGTGGGAAATTGTAAAAGTACATTATTAAGGAACAACAGAATTGCAGGCTTAAAATGATTTTTTTAAATGTCTATGCATAGATGTCCCTCTTTGACTAAGAGGTCTTGGACTTTTCATGTCAAGCCCAGTGCCAATTGTAGAGGCTTTGAGGATGAGCACGCCTGTGCTTTTTACTTGTGGAACATAACAGAATCTCCACATGCTGTATTTTTTAAATGCAACAGAAAAAAATGGTAAAATTAAGTAACATCCTTAGATGCATGTAGTCCTACAGCAGCAGCATTTAATTCTTGCATTGAGTCTGTTAGGATTACTGCAGTTGCTTTGCTTTTGAGGAACTAATTGTCTTTTGTGATTGTATCGATGTAGTACAATTGAAATCCTGAGAGAAAGGTGTGTAATATCTAATGATATTATTTGTAGAGGCTCCTACAATACAGGAAAAATGTGTGGTATCTTATTATATACTCTGCTTTATGAGACTACAAAAGGAATGTTGGATAATGCAGTTCAGTTATTTCCTGCCTGCAAAGCTGGACTTGAGACAGAATTTCTGGTTCAAAATACCTCAATAACGGAGAAAAATCCATTTCGTTCTATTAGAAAAGAAGAAGCAGTGTTTGATCTTTAATCTTCTCACGCTCTTTTAATAGCCTCAGTCTTGGCGATGCATGTGCTGCTTTGACTCATGTGTCTCTTATTGTGTTGTACCACAAATTACAAGTTTTCTTCATCTGTTGTCTTGGTCCATGGTGAAGTGAGATCTTTTAGTGTCCTATAGTTTTTAGCAGCTTTTTCCAGCCTACTCTGTAGCTTGGAAGAGAACTGTTTGCCACATATAGAAGAGACAGCTATGCTTAAATCAGATTGAAGAAAAAGTGATTATAGTAAACCATAGCCACATCAAAATATTCAAACAAGGCTGTGCTGAGAAATGATGCATTACAAGAACATATTGGCAATGGTACATAAAGAAATAAAACCAGCCTAATCTAAGAGCCCAATAAAATTGACTGTGAACAGTTTTCAATACTCTGAGCATGTTCCTTAGGGAGAAAGAATACTGTGTCACTGTTAATCTCTTTGAAACCTTCAAGTATTTTGTTGCTCTAAGCATTGAGCTTGCCAACTTTTGGCAGATAATTAGTTTGTTCTCTTCCAAATTGAACACATTCAATTCAGTCTTACCATTCAGAACAACAAAGTCTTATTGGGCATTTTTTTTCTCACTGTTCAAGAAACACGAGCAGGTAATGTTGTAATTTGAAAATGTTCACAGGGCAAATGGGAAGCATTTTGAGGACTGAGAAATGCATCAATATGTTCAATGAAGGAGGCTTGTAAAAGCTTGGCATAGAGGAGGCAACTCAGGGAAAATTCATTGTGACTTAAAAAGTAAAAAAGACTCTGAAAATAGTAAGAAAAATATTGAGTATCTGCTTCCCCTTTTGTCTGTAAAATAATTGTAACACAAGGTCCTTAAATAAAAGTATTAAATGAAGCAATCTGAAAAATAGAAGTATTTCTCAATCCTTCTTCTGGAAACCTTATTTTCTGACTTAGGACCACATTTAACTACAGTCAATCTAGTTAAGACAGGAATTAATTTAGAAAGCATGCTGAGACTTATTCAGGGAGAGGGCTGACATATTCTTGAATGACTGTAGAATGTACAGCCTTCTGTCCAGAACAAGAGCCTCAGAAAAGAAATAAGAAACTTCTTATACCATATTAATAAGACTCATCCTCCCTTTCTCTTGGAGCTGTGAAAGGCTTTTTCCCACTGCGTGCTATTGTGTTACCACACTAATGCGCTGTCACTTCTATTGTGCACACATCTCTGAACCCAGGAATTATTTCTATTCTTAATTTAAACAAAACCAGCTGTGCATAGATGAAAAGTCTGAAAAATGGAGCATGTGTACTCACTCACTGGTTGTACTTCTAGTATGTTACAGAGGAGCTTTACGAACTCGGGACAATCATGCTGCAAAAGCGGCTTAAAAATATGCACGAGGGGGAGAAAAGCTGACACTGTTCTAGTGCATTGCACCACTGACACCAGACTAACACTGCATTCAAACTATGTTTGAACACGGGTAACAAACTAAGTATTTTAATTCTTACAAAGGGAGAATTAAGAGACCTTTCTCTTCCTGTGCCACCATTGTATACTTTCTGCAGCTGCTGCTTATTTTCTTCCACACCCTCTCCTGTTGGTGCTCCAACCCCGTTATATTCAGAGCAGTTAAAAACATGTAAGAGGACAAAGTGGATATTTTAGCTCTTAAAAAATTGTTTCATGTTCTGTTCTCAGATTTACTTTTTGTGTTACTGAAGCTTACTTCTGCACTGGGACACCTTGCAAATCCTACCTTTTCACCAAAGCCAACTAGGTTCTGACAATAGCAAAAATTAAAGAATTCAGAATGTGGGTAGAAGGCTAAATAATTAGTTACTTTACTGTTACCTCATGAGGGAAAAAAAGCCAAAGAGAAGTGGAGGTACACTTGTGACTATGAAAGAAAAGGGAAAAAAAAGAACATTTGTGTTGTATTCTTGAGCCACAGTGGTTCTAAAACAAAAATTCACCAAGTTTACATTTTTCTTACCTGTTTTACTGATCCCAGATTCTCAACTACCTTTTCTGAGTGTGTCTGATTTGATACCATCTTCTCTGTGTGTGTTAAGTATTTGAGATGACCTTATTTACATGACTGTAGTCTTTAACCAGATTCAAAGCTATTGCTTGCTCTGCATTATTGCAAAAAGTTTTGAAATGGCCTCACTGTATTGGAAAGACTAAACTGTATGTTGTTGGGCAAAACTGTAAGCTGATAAACTGTGCAGTGAAATCAGTATGAATGCTCTGTGCACAGGGAGCTTGAGACCCCTATTAGCTTAAGAAATAGGTTTGAAATATTTTTATTAGACCTTTGCGAGCTGTATGGAAAAACCTCTAGACAGCTTGGTGAAACATCGATAATTAACATGAGGGGTTTTTTTAATCCAACACATAATTGTTTTGTCGTCTGGTATTTTAGAACTAGAGGGTCGTCTTTTCCTGTTACTCTGACAAGAGGACTGTTAGTGTACATAATGAACAATTCCCTTTTTTCAGGGAGGGGAGAAATGAAGTATTATGTGTGTTTTAAAAATTGTTTTACCTGGAAAGGGCTGTGTTAGGAACGTATTAATAAATGGCTTGTTTGGAATGCACTGTGACTTTCAGCTATGATGTGGGCTCCAGAAAGGCTCAATCCCTTCTGTGAAAAGTATGAAGGGCGTTGTGCCTCCAAATGCTGGTGATGTCGACAAAGGAACCCTATGTACACCCTCATAAGTTTGTGATGACTCTTTTCTTCTCTTCCATCTTTATAGGCATATGAAAGAAGGTTTCCTACATGTCCTCTGATCCCAATGTTTGTAGCCAGTGACACTGTAAACGAATATAAGAGTGAGGATGGAGCTATCCATGTGATTGAACGGCGCTGTAAGCTGGATATAGATGCACCACGGCTATTGAAAAAGGTGATTAGGTTTAAAGTACCTGGTTTATACTTTTGGATATCCTTTCACACAAATAATATACCTTAATGGAATCTGTGTCATCTTCCTCAGATTGCAGGAGTGGATTATGTCTACTTTGTCCAGAAGAATTCTTTGAACAGACGAGAAAGGACTTTGCATATAGAAGCCTACAATGAAACCTTCTCTAATAGAGTCATTATTAACGAACACTGCTGTTACACAGTGAGTAACAGGCTCTTGGTGGTGCCACAGATGGAGCTAAGTCAGTGTTTAGATTTCAGGACTCATAAACAGAAGTTGGGTTGTTCCTTGACTTTTGCCTTGCAAGAAAAAATAACCAACACACCACCATGAGTGATAATTGTTGTTAGTGTTAAATGTAACACACTTGCTTGAAGAACTGAAACAAGTTTGGCACCCTCTTGCTTGAGCATCTTCTCGGAGAGCAGAACACAACATAATTTGCTGTATTTGACAGCTCTGTTTGGGCAAATCTGCAGTCTGTAGTAGCAGTGTGGAACTTGGTGAGGCTGATGATACCCTGACAGAACTGTTAAAGGAAAGTTCGACATAGCTTATTTGCCTTCTGCTCAGCTAAGACAAATGTTCTTCGAGTCCTCTGTGTTTTAACCTATTTCCTTCCATTGTTCTTGGTCTTCAGTGCAGACTTTTTCTGATACAGAGGAGTCTAGTGGTGTGCTTACTGCTATGCTCTGGTCATGCGTTTTTCTGAGTGGCTTAGCCAGTACTCATAGGCTTATACAGCACACATGTATAGCAGTAAAACTTCAGATCAATGTTAAAGGTCAAATCAAAGCTAGCAAACGTAACCAATTCATTTGAATCATTCTTTTTACGTGCAGGTGATAACATTTTCTGTTGTGTACAGACCCATGGTTAAAAGGTCACTAGATGTTAAACCCACTTGACACTATTATCTGATTATTTTTAAATTATTATTTCTGCAATTATTTCCAAGGAACATTTAAAAATACTTTTCTCCCTGCAATTTCTTTGTGGAAGATCTGTTTAAACAAGGGAAATGCTATACAGAAAAGTGCATGTGGTAAACATGTATAAAACACAATTTCTCCTTGCCCTATTTGATCAAGCAATTAGTAGGTAAATGCAAAGCCAGAATTTTAATTCAAGAATAAATTGGTTTTAACAGTTCATTCATAAAATTATTTTATGATTGAATTTATGAAAGGACAGGAAGTTTCTTAAATGTTATTACAATTTAGACTTGTTTAGGCTGTACAAGCTATTCTTGTACCCCCCATTCCCTAATGCAGATGAAGCAAATGAAGGGAAATGGTTCTTTTTCTGTAGCTGTCTGAAGTGTTGATACTGTTCCCAGTCAATTTTAGCATGTTTTGAGGGGGAGGGGAACGTTAAAGCAGTTGCGTGCTCAGAAATCCAGCCTTCCGGGATGCATAAATACAAATTCAGAGCCCAGCCTGGAAATTCCTTAGACAAGTCTCTTTTAGCTGAAGAGAGTTTAGAATACAGCTTTCCTTCAGAGCATCATCATCAATCATAGGATCATTTAGGTTGGAAAAGACCTTTAAGATTGAGTCCAACCATAAGTAGTAGCATCTCTGTTTCATAATTGTTTCTCCGCAAACTAAGATATAAGCCTAGAAGGAAGTTGGGAGTGCTGTAAGACAGCTTATTCAGCTGTCAACTGAAGAAGTTTTTCTGTAGCATTATCACAGGAGAACAGAGTAAAATAGTTTTCAGTCTACAAAATACTAAGTTACATCTTAGGTCAAGGGGGGAACCATCTATTGCAGTATGTCTGTTGCAGACATGTCTAGACTAGAGTGCTTGGAAATGCTTAGGCTCTACTTGCTGCAGTCCCCAGATTAGCTGGCCTTGGTTGATCAGTCTAACCTGTGGCAGTGGAAAGTTCACAGTGGAATATTTTACACTAGTCACAGCCCATATCTAGAATGACATAGTGTTGTATAGATGTGCTAGTCCTTTGGCTTTTGGCTGGTGCACTAGTATTTCTCCACCCTCCCCTTTCTTCTTAAGAAAAAAATGTGCTGTGCTAGCCATGGAACTATAGGAAGGCTTCTCATCTTTTTTTTTTTTGTGTTATCTTTTCTGAGCTGTGTTTTGCAAATGAAGCAAAAGACTGCAAATTCCACTTGAATGTTTTTGGCTATGTGAACCTGTAAAACAGTCATTTCAAATACTCCAAGAAAAAAAACAAAAACCCCAAAAAACAAAACCCCACAAAAAACAAATCACTAAATGGGCAACTAAGCTGTATGACCTCCTTTTCATTAATAGGTTCATCCTGATAATGAAGACTGGACCTGTTTTGAACAGTCAGCAAGTCTGGATATTAAATCTTTTTTTGGTTTTGAAAGCACAGTGGAAAAAATTGCCATGAAGCAGTACACCAGCAATATTAAAAAGGTGAGCTTGCAGTCAAAGGAGGTGCCTGGCTCCAAGTTACCAAAAGGGAACGTAGCTGCTGCTAAGTAACAGGCTGCTCTGCTCAAAAAGCTGGGCGGTTTGTTCTTTAGCCAGGGGCAGCATGTGTGTGTGTAGGTTTGTATTTTAAAGTGGAATCTTTAGAGAGGTCTGGCCACTTAATGGGTTTTCAACACAATCCTTTCTGTGTCTAAATGGATGTTTTTAATAGCTGAAGTAAACTTTCATTTTTGAAGGGAAAAGAAATAATAGAATACTACCTGAAGCAGCTGGAGGAAGAAGGAATAACTTTTGTTCCTCGTTGGACTCCTCCTGTTGCATGTAAATCGGAGAGCAGTACATCCCACACAAGACGACCAGTTTCACCCGCTATTAATATACCAGACTCTGCCACAAAGGAAGGCTTGAACAATAAGGAGATCCTCAACACCTCAAGCAGCCCCTCGGAGCCCACAGCAGGAACACCTGATGGTATGCTGGTCTGACTTGTTTTAGTGGGATTATTTGTACTGTAGGGACTCACAGCACTGTGATGCTTCTCACAGGCAGCTGAAAACCTTCACATTGGCTCTTTTTTTGTAACATACAATGTTAAAGTGCAGGCTAGCAAAGCAGTAACATGTGGGATAGCTAGGATAGCTGTTACGGGATGATCTTTCTAGTAAATGAACATCAGATACAAGTGGAAAAATTGAATGGCCACCTGTTTGCTCTGAAATTCAGGTATGGGTATTACTATAGGAATAATGGAGAGGAAAGGACTGAAGCTTCCCCGGTCTTCTGTTGTATCTTCCTACCCCTGTTAATAAGGGATTCTGGCAAAGTTCTTGCACTGGGAGATTTAGATCAAAGCTTCTCTTTAGGATTTCCAGAAGAAGCAAACCTTCTGGTGCCATGAATTGACAAGTCTGAATATACTGGCAAAATGCTTCGAGGAATATTTGGTTTTAATCCTTTTTTAGTTGCAGAAGGAGAATTAATCTTCTTGGTTTACCATTAGGATGATTGTGTATGTTGCCTTGCTCATCTCTTCATTGATTCAAAGAAACTTTTTTCAGTTGACAGCACAGACTCACAGCACCTGCTTCTCTGCTTCAGATATCAGCATGTAAGATCACTTGCTACTTTGACTAGGTCAGTTCAAGACCACTCTAATCACATGTCCATCTCCTTTCAGACAAGCTAGATGCAGACTACATCAAGCGGTATCTGGGTGACTTGACACCAATGCAGGAAAGCTGCCTCATTCGGCTGAGACAGTGGCTCCAGGAGACGCACAAAGGCAAAGTAAGTTACTGTTGATCTCTTGTGGTGCTGCCTCAGAACATGTGAGGTACAAGGTGGGCCTGATGAAACATCTTGCCACACCTCCTGTGGGTGTTCCTGTTAAGTGGCCCTTCATGATCAAAACCTAAATTAAGTCTATACAGTGGCAGTAGTAGTAGTTCATTGTGGCTGTCCAGCTGACTTTGCCTGCTGAGGTGCTTAAATGATTAGCATGACTGCCTCTCAATGTCAGTAACCAGCACAGGGGGGAGTAACATCAGTTTTGTAAATCTGCCTGGTTCTACAGTAACCTTATTTTTATGTTTGTTTTGGCCAGGCATATTCTCAAATCTATGTCTCTAAGTGCAGTACTGAAAGGGAAGCAGTGTGGCCAGTTAAATCACTGATAGCAAGGCTGGGGGATTTCCAGTGGTGTGTGATTTGCATGGATGTCTCAACTCCTTTTACTTAACAATGACATATGGTCTGTGTTTCATCCCTAGATTTATTTATATTGGACTGACTTAGTATGGTCAGACAGGTGTAAATGATTACATTAGAGTTAATGAAACTTTTGTATCTGTTATGTAGGTAGCTGCAGTACCTGACAGGGCTTGTGTTTTTGTTGCAAACAGACTGATTTGCTTGAGTAACTTCCACTGTTAGTTACCATCCTCCTGCATTGGTGCAGGGCTGCACATTTTTCAGCTTCTGTTGTTTGTTTTTTGGTTCTTGTTTCAAACCTTGAATACAAAATTGGGGTTGTATTTTTAATAGATCCCAAAGGATGAGCACATCTTAAGATTCCTGCGTGCGCGGGACTTCAACATTGATAAAGCAAGAGAGATCCTTTGCCAGTCGCTGACGTGGCGTAAGCAGCACCAGGTAGACTATATTCTAGACACCTGGAACCCTCCTCAAGTACTACAAGATTACTATGCAGGAGGCTGGCATCACCATGACAAAGGTATGTTCTGTAGGGTGCATATTGAGCAGCCTGTTTATGTTCTGAATTAAAGGTGATAGCAGTCCCTCTGTTAACCAGAGGTGACTGGAAGGATAGTCAGAACTTCTCAGTTGTTATGTACTAAATGCATTTCAGTTGATGTTGCCAGCTCCTTAGTTGGTGGAGGCGGGCTCCTAGGTCCTAATCTTTCTAATACCAATATATTTAACTCTTTAGAGAGCTCTGCTTTGCTGGTAGTGTAAAAAAAAAAAAAGTTAATTGCACTTCTGTAGTACTCTGAGATGCTAAGAACGGTGTTATGCAAATGTTGAGTACTCTCAGTGATTACAGATGTTTGTAAATAAGTATATCTTTCTAATCAAGTTATTTTTGATGTTGTATAAGTCTGCTGATGGCATAAATTAATACTTATATGGCATTACAATCAGCTTAAGTGGGATGTTGCAAAAACATCAGAGAGCAGGTTTATTTAAGACAGGAAGAGGCTTTGGCTGAATTCCCTTTGTATGGTAAGCCACAGCCAGATCTTTAGAACATGGATGACCATGCCTCACACCCCTATCACTCTGCTTGCTTTATCGTTCACTGATCTTGTTGCTAATACACATGTAGAAATGAAACGTTTTGGAATTTGTTGCTTGAGGCAAGCTGGGCTCTTCAGATAAGGAAATGATCTCTTACTGGGAGCTGTGTTCTGATTGAGTCTTTTCCCCACTAGGCACCATTGTTTCTGCTAGCTTTTCCTGTTACAAGAAGCATATGAAACAGGACAGGATGCTGTCAGCAGTAGTGACTGGGAGACAGGGAGGACACAGCAGAAGTTTAATCACTGTAAAGCTGAAGAGCTTGAATGGCTCTCCCCTGCTGCTTTGGGTTTGACAGACCTCAAACTGAGAAAATGAAAAATGAGAGTATGCTTGTAAAGATTGTAGGGAAAAAGACCTGTGAATAAGTTCTCCCTTTCTGTCAGTTCCTTGTCCTTACTTTGCAAAGACTTCCTCTGTCAATAGCACATAACTGAGTCCTGACAGTGAGTAGAAAGGTACAGAATGCATCAAAGAGTGGTTTAATGTTTTTCTGAGAAGTTCTTCTTGTGGTGAACTTCATGCCCCCCTCCCTTCGCCTCCAGTTCCTTTGATCTCTTTTGCAGCATGCCCACAAGTAAAGCATAGGCTTGTCAGTAATGGAAACAGAATTTCAAAACTGAGCAATTCTCTATAATTTAAAATTTTACAGTGGTAAGTTCTTTTTTTAAACCCTCTTTTCTACTATTGCTCTTTTCCTCCTACGTATGTTATATGTGCCAAACTTAAGCTAGCTGAATTCTGTATAGCTTTTAGCGCTAAAGCAAAGGCAGCAGTGATGAAGCCTGTTGTCCAGAATGAACTATTAGTGCAAAAGAATAAAAGTTGTTGTTTTGGCTTGTAATTAGCAGAGTTTTCTATACATCTGAGTGGCTTTTATTTTGACGGGACTGCTTCAATCAAATGGGTTTTTTAATTACAAAGCTCTAATGGAATATAAAATATGCTGTGATAATACGGCACTGTCAGTTGAGACTGCCCTTCACGTGTTGTTCGGGTGGACCAGGGTTAGTAAGCTATTGGTTGGGTTTTGGTTATGTGTGCATCTGTGAGGGAGGGAGACCTGCTATGAAACTTAATAGCACTGGCACTTTTTGCTTAGGGTTTCAAAAGCTCAACAGTACATTCCATAAGTGTGTGCTGATGTTAAAATAACATTTTATTTTAGACCACCTGATAAAATACAAAATACTAGGTTTTTTCATGGGGGTAGTGTCTTTGCCAACTAAATAACTTGTCTTGACTCTGCAGTTTTGGTTAGTAGGGGTTTTTTTAATAGCATATCTTGACAGTTTCTTTCCTTGTGTCCCAAAGGATTTAGTGATAATTTGATACCTCTCTTTGCAGTTGTTGGAGGGAAGTGATGCTAAACAGGCAATAGGGCTTCAGGGAGATTTTCATGTAGAAAGCTCTTTTTCTTTTTTTTGTGTGTGTCCTAGCATATTCAGTTTTATAAGTTGGTGATTAAATAATCAGTTTGTGTACTAGAATAGATGGAACAAAGCTTAAAAAAATGCATCACAGCTTTAGGAGGAGGATGGAAGTTGTTTCTGACAACTAGCTCCTATTATGAAGAGCCAGCAATGCAAGCTTTGGTTGTCAGATTTAGCCAATGCAGTTGTTAAGCCTAATGCCTTTGTATACTGGACAGTATCAGGGTGCCCAAGTCTGCAGCAAGATGACCGTGAGAAGGCAGGGCTTTGAATGCAGAGGGTCCATCTGAAGCTGATCTCTGGAACAAAGTCTGTTCTCACCAGGCTTAACCTGCATAAGTGAGGCTCTGTGCCAGTTCCGCATAATATGTAATGACATAGCTGAAAGGTGTGACTTCAGCAAATACTGCAGAAAGCAAGTCTCTGGGTTAACACTTTGTTTCATTAATTCCAAGAACTCGCTGTAACTACTTTTCCAGAAAGGTTGCTGTAAGCTATCCAGAGCAGTATTGCATCACATGTGATAGAAGGCTGACAGCCTTCACTCCAGCTCTTGGGTACGCTAATGGACTGAAGCGTTTCCTGTATCTTAGCTGTCCTGGGAGCTAATCATAGTCCTGTGTCTTGTGTACTGATGTGCTTGAAATCCTTTGAACTTTCCTTGCAGATAGGGGAGCTATTTTTGCATCAAGATGTCCATTAAACTTTTGCAATTCATTTAGAGATGATCCTTTGGTGTAACAGGGTAAAGTTTATATTGACATCTGCTCCAGGTTCTCCCTCTTCCAGCTGTACAACAAAGTTTGAAGTGCCTATGACTTGTTTCCATTTGAATTTTTAGCATAAAACTAGCTCACTCAAATTATTTATTGCTGTAAAACTAAGGGTTATGTTGATATATTTGTTCTTGTTATTCAGATGGTCGCCCACTGTATGTGCTGAGATTGGGACAGATGGATACCAAAGGCTTAGTGCGAGCTCTTGGGGAAGAGGCCTTGCTTCGATACGTAAGTATTTTTGGAGCCAACAAGTTGCTAACAATGTGATATTTTCATTTAGATATTTCCTCCTCTGCCAGAACATTCATCACTCTGGATATTTTGATGTACTCTCTGGCCGTCTGTTTTTGGTTTGAATACATCTGAAAGCTCCTGGTAGCTGATCTTCTGTATTCTTTCCAACTGCAAACTGATGGCGGAAAGGCGTAGTTCTTGGCAGCCCCTGTGGTTATTGGTTAGCATTTTCACAGATTCTTCTGCAGTTTGTACAGTGCTTCAAGTCTCTGCATTTGTACAGAAGACAAAATGCCATGCTCAGATTTTGTCAAGCCCATATTCCAAGAATAAGAATAATTTATTTTAAAAGAAAAAGTACTTGCCTATAATTTTGCCTTCTCTAAAGGCATGGCTTAGACTGTGCTTTGTGGATTTGCTCAGTTTCCAAGCAGAAACCTGGCAGAAATGCAATAATTTTTTTGACTCCTGGTAATGACAGTCATGGCCATAGCAACCACTAGAAGCAGGGATTGGATTTTACTTTTTCTATTCCAGTGGCATTTCCAGCCGCATACTAAATTGCATGTGTTTGCCCTAGTTCTGTTTCAAGATTACTTTCTTTGACTTAAAGAGCTTTAATTTCTGAGTAAATAGGAAATCAATACTTAAGGAGCAGAAGTGTAGGGAGACTTCTTGTCTGTATCACTGCTGGGCATGAGTCTTCCTGAGGATTTTGTTTACATTTTACTGCTTTTATGGAAAGGCATGTTTATTTTTCAACATTTACCCCACTGGTTGATCTTGCAGTGATTTCTAGTTCATTCTTTTGAAAAAAAAAAAATTATGCTGGTTTGAGCTTGTAGCTTTAATTAGTCTTTGGATATAAACATTTTTTTCTTTGTCTCATCTACTCAGTTTAAGATTGTCTTCTCTAAACAACATGTTTTCTTGTGCAGGTTCTTTCAATAAATGAAGAAGGGCTGAGGCGATGCGAGGAGAATACGAAAGTATTTGGCAGGCCAATAAGGTAAAATACAACCAGCAGGCTTGCTCTTTGGGAATTACCTGGTTTCACGGTGTGTGTGGGGGAAAATCAGGCAGTGTGTGGCTGAGCAAAGTTTATTAAATGGAACAAGCAAAGGGCAGGCAGTGTTGTGCATGCAGACACAGGCACAGAGGCAGAGAGCCTCCCCAGTTACCACTGGAGTGCATCTGCATGGTCAAGCCTGAGGGAAACACACCATCTGCTCCAGCAGTCCTGGTGTCATGTTCATAATGGTCCTGCATGGGGCATCTTATGCTTCTACTGCTGAATGTCTGCAAAGAAATGCAGCCTAACTCCCCTTTTTGTTTCTGAGGGATTTTATAGGCAGACATTGGTACAGGCTGCCAAAAAAATCAGGCCATGATAATGTCATGGATACCTGAAACTACTAGAAAGGCTATTATCTTCATATTAGTTGTTCACCTATAGTCCATACCAAGGCTCATTACACTCAGTTCTTGTGTGCATTCTTCATTCATGATATGCAGTTACTTAAATCTTGATCCACGGTGAGGTCATGAGGCTCCTGTGAAACCTGGGGTCTAGTTTTCCAAGTACTGGCATGACTTCATGTGAAGTTGTCAGAAATGATTTGCCATCCCATCTTTAAGTCTTTGTAGGGGTCACTTATGAAAGTGTTAACTGCAGAATGGATTTAAGAGTGGAATGAATGCAGTACTGGCCCTGAAATGAAACAGTGTTTCTTGGACTCTTTTCAGTTTCTGACTCCTTTCCTTAATCTGTAAGGGTTTGGGGTTGCATGGTATGTCTGCTTATCTTTTTCCTGTTAAAGAACTTGCTGTCCTAGCTGTCAGTGAGAGGTCAGATCCATGTGTGTAATTGTGGAGTTGTGTTGCCTACTGGATTTTCAGTTGTAGAAGTAATCCTGAAGCACTACATATTAAACATTTAAAATGAAACAAAGAAGTGTTTGCTGTTTCATAGAAGCCTTATGCATAATTTAATGGATGCTAGCTGGTGCAGCACAGCTGTAAATCTTGAATTCATGCCCAGGGTGAGACCTGAACTTGGAAAGTAACTAAAGCATATGCTGAAGCTCAGTATTTAGTATTAAGAACATCCCTGTTCATATAGAAAAAGCTTCCCCCCATGAGACTTGACAACAGAATTATCTTTGACATGTAATGGCACTGTTGCTGTACAGTGTTAGTAGGAAATCTGCACCATGATTTCTAAACTGCTTTACATAGCAGTGTGACCACTTGATTTCCCAGTAAAAACAATGGTTTAACGTTTGGGCTAGTTGTTGACAGGATCTTTTTTGGCTTCATGTTAAGCTTCACATGGAGTTGGCATGCTGCAGGGAGCGGGGCATATGTGTGATGTGCAAAGTGATTGTTGCATGTCCTCTGTAGCTGTGGTTGGCATACTCTTAAGACATTTCTGTTCTAAGGACCTTAAACTCCAGTGTCTACAGGTAGTGTAAAACAGAAGAAACTGAAACATGCAGTGGGGTCCACACATTGCAGTACATTGGACTCTTGCATAAGAAAGGAGAATTTTGATGCTATTGAGATTCTTCTTTTCATTTTTATCTTTCTCAAATTCAGCTCATGGACCTGTCTAGTAGATCTGGAAGGCTTAAACATGCGGCATTTATGGAGACCTGGTGTCAAAGCATTGCTAAGGATCATTGAGGTGGTTGAAGCTAATTACCCTGAGACTTTGGGTCGTCTTCTTATCCTAAGAGCACCTCGAGTATTCCCAGTTCTTTGGACACTGGTATGTTTGTAATTCAAAGTATTCCTCAGCACACTGATGCACACTTGTAGTTTGTAAAAACACTGTAGAGATCAGACTTTATAATCAGGAAGTGTTACCAAATGGTAACATCTCTTTTATAGGATTTGTGGAATGGATTAAAAAACACTGCTTAAGACCTTGCTTACATAGTTGGTTAATTTAGTTCTTTTTAGTGTGAACTTTGCATAAGAAGGATGGTAACAATGTGATCAAAGTGATGCCTTCAAAATTGACTTGAGAAAAATGTGGGAGCCTGATCTCTTCTGTTTTTCTTTTGTTTGTAGGTTAGTCCATTTATTGATGACAACACTAGAAAGAAATTCCTTATTTATGCTGGAAATGACTACCAGGGCCCCGGGGGACTGCTGGATTACATCGATAAAGAAATTATCCCTGATTTTCTTGGTGGAGAGTGCATGGTATGAATATGAACTAGTGCATATAGCAACTTGTGGGGGTTTTATTTTTCCCCTCCCCTCCTCTAAACAAAGAAGCCTAGAAGCACAGAATGATTCCTAATGTAGTTTGGAGGCAGGGACTATGATGTAGGTTTGCAGGCTTAGTGTTTTCTTCTGGATCCACTTGAAAAAGAGAAGTACAATGCTTCTCTACAATGAATATCAAATAACTTCTCAAAAGAGCCAAGCACGGTTAAAAGCTGTAGTGTCTGCTACCTGTCAGGTTCAAGCAGATGTGGTAGCACAGCACTGAGCAGGAGCTGTCACCATCAGGTAGTCAGAAGCCTGTCACCTAAAAGAACCATCTGATACCACAGGAGCCCGAGGAAATGTGTGGCATGTCTGCTAGCAGGGCTTAAACAGGCAGGTCTCCTAGCACAATGTGTGCATCGACCCACAACAAACAAAAAAAAATGTTTTACTGCAAGATACTGTATTTCTCAGTCCCTTATCATGTGCCTTAATAGCTGTTTCCTGCCTAGGCCATGGGTGTCGATTGAATCTGTCATTTTAACATCTCGGTGATACTGTAAGGTTTGTTTTCTCTGTAATGTTTTTGACAACACAGGCTCACTGGTGTGACTGAGGTGTGGGAGTGCGATTCAGGCATTTTCTGGAGCCTCCATCACAGTAACAAGATGATTTTTTTTCTGAACTCAGCTGTGTTAAAATATAATTTCAGGCTTGCTTTTTAAACCGCTGTACACTTTCTAGATTAATTTCTGTACCATTCTTAAATTCATCTAGGTCTGTTCAAACACAGCTTGAAATTATAATAAAGTACTGTTAAATGTGTCAGAGTAGAGCATGTGTTTATCTTCAGTGGGCTGCTTTTTGCTGCAGCTTTCAGTAGAGAGAGTTTGTGCTATCTAATTTGGAGCTTGAGAAGCTGGAAAAATCTGCTGCTTAAGTAAGCAAAAGTGAATGTTACCAGAAAGCAAATTGTTACAGTACTTCCTGCTGGTCACAAGACAATGATAGAATCTCTTTCTCTTCTTTACTTCTGGATATTTGAACAAAAATGACTTCTCAAAGATTCTTTCAAAGTCTCTGTTTGAATTCAGTTATCAAACACTTCTGCTGCCCCAAACACTTCCATGGAGCATACCCCTGATCAGTTAGTTGTCTAACTTCATTACTACAGGCTCTTTTAAAAAAGAAGATTGCTTAGAGAAGTTGTGTAATCAGTTCCAGTACTGAGCTGTCAGGACAATTGTAACTTCAAAACTTACCTTCCTGACTGCAAGATCCTTTTACCTGTTTGGAAACTTACTCTATCTCCCTACCATTCTTTGTCCTTAAATTTAGCTACCCCAGTTCTTTCAGGTCTCTGGGGGGCTATATGTTTTTTAGACTGACTCACTATTGCCACTTTCCTCAGGATTCTTACGTGGCTCACATCTTTCTTCATTATAGGGCATTATGAGTGATAACTATAGCATTTGCATGGTCATTTTCTGTGGTGGTGGCTGCTGTGTAGATACAAGATCTATTCCTCTGGCATATAATTCTGCAAACTCACCTAAACCAAGTCATTGTAAAATAAATGTTTGTGTGTATGATATACAAGCTATAAAATTACTTCCAAACAGTGTTCATATCTCATTCTTTTGGATAGTTGCTGAATGTGAGGTTTAGTTTCTGAAGCTAGCAGGCAGAAAGCATGACAGGGTGTGGATGTAGATGGGGTCCTTTTTAATGGCTGTTTGTGCTTTTAGTGCGAAGTACCAGAGGGTGGGCTGGTTCCCAAGTCCCTTTACCGAACAGCAGAAGAGTTGGAAAATGAAGACATAAAGCTTTGGACTGAAACAATCTACCAGTCTGCAAGTGTCTTCAAAGGAGCTCCCCATGAGGTACAGTTGCAGCCTACCCTTCTTTTCTTTCAACCCTCTGCTCTGGACTCTGTGTCTCGGTCTGAACATGGTTTAGAACTTGAATTATTTAGTTGCCATGCTTTCACCTTGTTCTGTAGTTCTGCTGCATAATGATGCTTTAGTAGCTGAAGTTTGTGACCATTCCTGGTATCACCTTGTTGGTATTTAGAAAATATTGATGGTTTTCTTTCTATTCAAAACCACTTTCTAAGCAAAGACAAACAATATTCTCAGAAGCTACTTGAGAGCTTCTGAAAGTCATGTGTTTAAAACATAAATTCTTTCCTGATGGAGTGTCTTTATCTACAACACCTTTTCAATAGTCAAACCAAGCCCAGCAACAGAAAAGCTCTGTTCTTTGTGTCTCTTCTGGTAGGAGTTTCTTTACTGAACAAATTGCTAATGTCTAATGTGACTTTCTGTCTCAGGTTCTCATTCAGATTGTGGATGCCTCATCTGTGATCACATGGGATTTTGACGTGTGCAAGGGCGACATTGTCTTTAACATCTTTCATTCTAAAAGAGCCCCACAGCCTCCTAAGAAGGACTCTCTGGGAGCTCACAGTATTACATCTCCTGGTGGGAACAACGTCCAGTTGATAGACAAAGTCTGGCAGTTGGGGCGTGATTACAGTATGGTGGAGTCTCCCCTTATCTGCAAGGAAGGGGAGAGTGTGCAGGTAAGGCTGCCGAGTCCTCATGTGGGAGCAGATGGAGGCTAGCTCCAAATCTCCTAATTCACACCCATTGAGGACTGACTGGTGATTCAGCTCTGGACTGTCTGCTTGTTTTGGGTCGACATTTCAGCTTCTGTTCCTAGCTGTGTGCTGCAGAGAACAGGGGGAGGGTGCACATGGGGTCTGCTGGGAGGGCAGGTTGCATCAGTCCCCGATGGTGACTGGCATTGTTCATCAAGGAATACAGGGGAGCCACCTAGAGTGAAGTGTGCATCCAGAAAGAGCAAGACATGCCTTGTGTTCTAACTTTGACCATTATTTTCTAAAGCAAACAGTCTGTGTTTGAAGAGTATCATAGTGTCTTACCTCAGTAATGAGAGAAGTCTGGAAATTAAGACTGAGCTTCTGTGTGTCCCTCTAACAGGCACCTTAAGGAGGTCCTTATAGCCAAGGTTCCTCAAGTTCTTTTAATGGCATTTGCAACCTATCCTTTAATTTACCAAGTTTGATACTACACACAACATGTTTACAGTCACCCTCTGCTGCTGCTGTTCCTTTTGACTTGAAGTAAGCGTTGGACAGCCTTTGAAAAAGGAGCTCCTGAAGTCATCTAATTGGAAATGTTAAACTGGAAATATGGGCAGTGACCTCTTGAACTGCATTTTCTCTTTCTGTGAGGCAGGAGCCTTGACTGCTCTTTTCGGTCTCGAAGGACAGCTGCTAATGAAAATAAATGGAAAAAATTGATATTGTTTTAAATAAGAACTTTGTCCTTTTAGTATATATAAATCCTAACCCCTTGACACTGTCAAAAAACAGGAGGATCTGCTGGTGTTCTGTCATAACTTTTATAAGCATGCTGAGTGGGGAGAGTTGACCAGCACTGGCTGAGGAACTGAAATATTGGCAGTGGGAAAAAAATCTTATGGGCATGTAGGCAGCTTTTCTAAGCTTAGAAAAGAAATTTCAAGCCTACAAACCTCTATATTAACAAGGTTAATTTTTAATTTTTGCTGTGGCTGCTTCCAGGGATCACACGTGACCAGGTGGCCTGGCTTCTATATTCTCCAGTGGAAATTTCACAGCATGCCTGCCTGTGCTACAACCAACCTGCCTCGTGTGGATGATGTCTTAGCATCTCTACAGGTTTCCTCTCACAAGTGTAAAGTGATGTACTATACAGAAGTAATAGGATCTGAAGATTTCAGGTATGTCTGGCCAAGGTTCATAAAGGGCAGCTGGTGTCAAACCTTTCTGATACTTAAGTGGTCAAGTCAGTGTCAAGTTCACTTAAATACAAATAAATTGTGAGGACTTGTGTTTTCTTAGACCTCAAAAAACAAAAAGCCAAATAAAATAATTCAATCAGTACTGTCACTGTGGGCAGCTAATGTATAAAAGGGATTAACTATCTCATTGTAATCATCACTGGTCACTTTGTTCTGCTTTGTGTGAAAGCATTGTGTGAGTTGTTGGGCTTGGCAGGTTGTCATGTAGAGACGGGTGAAACTCAGAATGGAACTGAGTGAATTCAGCTGCTTGCCAGTTGATAGCCTTGGCTGAGACTAGTTCTCAGTCTCTTTGAACAGCATCTGTTTTTTGCAAGGTGCTTGGTGTCCCCATTATCTTATGTGGTGAGGCTGCACCAAAACCATTACTAGCTTTTTATTCAGTGTGCAAACAAAATAGATACAAAGCAGAAATCAAAATCTTTATGTGCTCTGAAGCTTAAAACAACTCTGGTTTTTATTGCAGGGGATCTATGACCAGCCTTGAATCAAGCCACAGTGGATTCTCCCAGCTCAGTGCTGCCACCACCTCTTCTAGCCAGTCCCATTCCAGCTCCATGATTTCCAGGTAGTGCCACAACAGATGAAAAGCAAATGGATGAGATGGCTGGACCCTCGCCTGTGGCAGCTGACTGCAATACAGCATATTCAACTGGCAATTACGCAGAAAACCCCACCCCACAAAAGCCTTTTATAGATAGTAAAGTAGCTGTTTGAATTTTAAACTTAGTGGTTTTGGTCCTTGTTAGATCCAACAGCTTGTCTCTTAACTTTAACCCTTTTTCCTAACTCAGCCATAAATATTTTTGCAAGTGTGCTTGCACAAATCCTAACTCTGAACACAAGGGCTCTCACTGAAAGGAAAAATAACCAGTGCATCAGTTAAGAATAACTTTTTTAACTGTGTAAATGTTAAAAAAGAAAAAAAAAAGATAAAAACCCTACCAAAAATGCTCCGTAGTGCATTAGAGATCAACTGCAAGTCTCCTGTCAGGACATTCCTTGCCATCTTAAGAAATCCCCTGCGATCTTCCAGTGCTGCAAACTGTTCTCCCATTGCCACTCAGTGATGTCCGAGACAAAGAAAAGCAGTTGCTGGATACTTGACTTTGTGAGTCCATTTTTTTCAAGGCTTACCCACAGAGCTGTGGCCAGGCTGTAAACACTAATACCTTTTGTATGAGCACATTTTTGGGGAATTTGAGCTCTGGGTCTTGGTGGGTTAAAGCAATTAATTCTTTCCTTGGATTTGCGGTTGGAGCACTCCAGAGAGAGAGGCAGAGAGCAGGCTCTCCCTCACTGTCATGCTGGGCTGATCCAGAATCAGTCTGAGGATTTGTTCCCATCTCTGTGCTGGAGCTTCACTCCGCTTCCTTAGTACACTCCATGTGAATTGATTTTACTGAGACTCTGTTCTTATCAGGAATTTATGCAGAGCTTAAGCTTGCTTCTTAAATTAGTCTAGAGGAGGTATGGCTTACATCCTTCTTCTGCACTTTTCAGTCCCTCTTGCCTCCTATCCTTCCCTGAGCATGTCAGAAATAGAGCGCTTTAGTTCTGAGCAGCAGAAGCTTTAATGTAGGCTGGGAGCACAGGGATCTTCCATCTCAGTGATATGGCAGAAGATGCTCTAAGCAGTGCCTGCTTGACCATTTTCATTATTGCTACTGCCAGTGGTAAACTGCCATTTTGGATTTTGTCCCTCTTCTACCTAGGCCCAAGCAATCCTACTTGAACTCTTTTTGGCAAAGTCTGTTCAGGTATTTTTCCACTTCAAGCTGTCTGTCCCATGCACAGCAAAAGGCACAAAAGACTGAAGTGCTGAGCAAAGGGCTCTCAACAGGCAACTACAGACCATAGCTGGCAGTGGAACAGAGAAGATTTCAGTCTGAAATACAGCAGGATTTGTGTAGCTAGACTCTGCCTGGTCTTCCTCACCCTCTTAGAGCTAAACTGTCCAGGCAGAAGGGAGCTGCTGTGCTGGCTGCAGTCCCTAGAGGAAGCTGGACAGGCTCTAATAAGTCCTGGGGAGGCAGCACTGTTGTGGGTAAGTGGTAGAGGAGCTTGTGGAGATCTTGCTCTTTAAGATACTGGATGCCCTGCCTAAGGAAAGTTGGTTCTGAACTCAGTTTGAATCTCGTTTTATGACTGCAAAGCTTCTGAGAAGCAGATTATGCTAACCTCTGACTAAGAGCACCTCCTGCAGACCAGTTGTGGCTGTGGAGCGGGGCAGGCAGCTGGCAAAGAAGTGGCTTAGTAACAGGTTTAGAGGTGCTGAGAGGCCAGTCTCCTTAAACTGAACCAAACTGGTTAGTTTTGTCTTTTTTGGACTTAAAGGTCAAAGATGGAGGTTAGACTGTCACTTAGGCTGCTAAGTGTGCTGTTGTGTGAGACAGGCCACTGCTTTGTGTTGAGCAGCTCCCTGCCCAGCGTCTGCACAGCAGCCGTGTGCCGGGGTGCTCCTAGGAGCTGTCAGCCTAGGAGGAAGCCTGCTTGCTGAAGAGGGGCTTTGGTTCTCGACATGCAGCAGCCAGTACTGCCAGGAACAGGGGAGCTAGTGCAGCAGGAGGCCCTGAGATGAACTGAATGACACTCATGGCTCTTTGCAAATGCCTCTGTCCATTTACCAGGCTGTAAGGGTTGAAGATGGTCCCCTTTCTTTCTTTCTCTCTCTCTCTCTCTCTCTCTCTCTCTCTCTCTCAGATGGCGATTTTGCTGACAACTGTAAAGAAACTGCTTCATTCAACACTCCACATCTGTCCAGAGGTGTCTGGCTTTGTAGACCTTTTTGAGTTGCAGTCACTTTTCAAGTCTGAAGATCTATATTTTGTTTTTCACTTGAGCTGGCTCAAAAGTGGCACTTTGGGTTTTTCCTGCTGTTAATCTTAACACATCTTTTAAGCTCAAAGCACATGACAGCACAAACAGCTGGGGAGATAAAATTCCAGAAAAACAATAGCTAATCCTCCTCTAAGCGAAGTGCTGTGGCAATATGACTTGATTACTGCAGTCTAATTAATTTCCCATACCCTGGTCTTTCTTTGTGTGATTTTATTGCTTTTCTTCTTTCTCTCAGCCAATAACTCTTCTGTTGGCTTTTTTCCTGTTATCAGTGTCCTTCTGCACTTTCCTGTCTGTACTCATGAACTGCATATCAAATTCTGTAAATGTTTTGTATACATAATACCTCATTCTTGGTAATAAAATACAGATAGTCTTTAAAAGATTTTTTTATCGTTTATCAATAAATGTGAACTGTTTGGAAAAAAGGGTCAGCCTCTGTTTCATTCACCTGATGGAAGGCTTCCAGGTTATTTGATGTGATGAATCGAGTCTGCCAGAGCTGCTGTGGGGCAGTGCTGCTGTCAGGGGGCACAGGAGGCACCTCAGCACTCTGCTGCTGTGGAGAAGTTTCAGTCTGTCTTGGGGAGTAGAAACAAGGTCTGAGGAAATGCGGTTTTAGAGGGAAGTCAGCTTCTGTCACAGAACAAAATCCCCTCTTCCCCACAGTACATGTACAATACTGGGCTGAAAAAGTCTTCAGGTAGCCCTAAAAAGGAAAGGGTTGTGTTTATGGATTGCATGATGACTTTATGTTCTTTAATGACAGTTTGAGAGAGAGCTTCAGCCTCAGCAGTTGAGCTGATGGCAGCAGTGTTACATGTGTTATCTACAAGGGGTACAGCAAGGGTACAGGTAAAGGTCTCTCATTTGCCCCTCTGCAGGCTCTAATGTGTCTGCCCACCTGAACTAGCCAGTGCAGTAACTGTTTTCTTTTTTTACCTCATTTTTTACCCAGTGGCCCTGTCATAGGCTTTCTGGCAGAATAAGGAGCTGCCTATGGCCCTAGGCTGAGCATGTACTCTCCTGGACAAACCGCAGGGATGTTGGTGCAGGCACAGCTCTCTGAGCCTGAAAACTGCCCCTAAATCCTGGTCCTTGCCATTGCTCTGAGCTCTGCAGGCCTTACCTTACCATGGGGCTGGGTGAGAGCTGCTCTGCTCCCCAGTGAGGTGTGGGGGCTTGGCCAGGGGGGTGGCTCTTTGCAGGTGAACATTAAGCTGCATTGCTCTGTGCTTGAGTTCAGTGGGCGCAGCTGCAGTGTTTGGGTGAAGTGCTGGGGTTTCAACCCCAAGCCCCAAATTAAGGTTGACATATGGGTGATTCCCACAGCCCTTCCCAAAGGGGGGGTGAATTAGCCTTTAGGCTTCCTTCCAGGGTGGGCTGGCCTGGCAGGGAGAGCCATTGGGTAAATGAGCCCCAGTAAACAAGGGTCAGGTGTCCCACTTAGGGATAAAAGCTGGGACCACTTGCAGGAAGGGGCAGTGGATGCACTTTGCAGAGTTCCCTGTTGGGGAAGGACCTCCCACCTTCCCCTGCTGGGGAAGGACCTCCCAGGAAGGACCTGGGACTGGGCTCCAGCCAGGTCTGGCCTTTGTAAACATGGGCTGTGTAGAGATTCAGTATGTGGCTTCCTTGGTCTTATGTGTTTGGCTTGTTGACTCAATTGTCTCCCATCCCTTCTATGGGAGACTGCATGTCACCATTTATTCCCCCATTGTTGGTCGTGTGGTGTCGTTGTTGAGGTCAGTGGGATTGATGTCAATTATGTATAATCTGACTTTGTACCCCCAGCGCTCACCCATGTACTTACCCTTTTGTATCAAATACAATTTGGTTATTGGTTCATCTTTATGCTGGCTGCATCCTTTATGCTAGGCCTAATAATTGGCAAAACATAGGGTTGGGGGTTTTTGACTGAAATGTAATATAAAGGTACAGTAATTCTCTCTCATTTAAGAATAAGCATGCAGAGCTGCCCACAGAGGGGTGTGATAGTGCTTGCTGCCATACGGGGTGGAGGCAGGGGGCTCCTTGGCTGCCCCCACCACTGGTGCTTTCTTGGGTGGGAGGCTGAGACAATCACATGTGGGGAATTAAGATTTATTTTTTGTTAATCGGTAGAAGTAGACAAAGCTTTAGCTATTTTTAAAACAGAATCCAATAAATGCCAGACTGTGGTTTTTCTAACCCCTGGAGTTAGAGCAGTGGCTGAAACATCCATTTATGGTTGGTCTTCCAGATTTTATCCAAGCCGTAAAGTTTCTAAAATGAGAATCTTTAACTATGGTTATGGAGGTCTGTCAGCAAGACCAGATGGCTGCCTGACCTACTTCAAGTTTTAACATGTGGCCAATATTTTTATGCCAGCACATAATTATAATGGGACTGGCTTACTGCTGCTCTGGACGTTACTAAATACAAAAGCCCTTGAAAAGACACTGCACAAGAAGGGGGCTTTGGCTGTTCAGCTGTGCTTGCCCGGGGAGGTGGGGGGAAAGCTGCCTTTCCTGGCCGATGCTCCTCTCTTGAAATGGCAACTAAAACTGCGAGGCTCAGTCCTCCTCTGAGCTGAGCAGGTGATAAGGATGCAGGCTGGGGCTGCTCCGCCATGCATCTCCCCTTGGAAAAGCATTAATCTGGTTGAGCTGTGTATTTTAGTTTTAGGGGTTTTAAGTGGATTTTTTTGAAACAAAGCAAAACTCCTGGAAGAAATTTCACCTGCCCTTTTTCCACCTGCCTTCCCCTGCCAGGCCCTGCTGCTCCCTGCAAAGCCGAGGGCTCCGTGTGAGACCCTGGTGTCCTTTGCAAATCTAGCATGCCAACCAGCCCATAAATTCTGAGTCACCCAAGGTGAAGGGTCCTGAACTGCCATTTCATAGTGTCTCCTGCAGCAGGGCTGGTTGGCATGCTAGATTTGCAAATGCCTGTATAGCAGCGCATCCCTTCCCCGCGGGAGCAGCCAGGACCGTTTGCTCTTCCCATCACTTTGTGGGACAGGCTAATTCTGGTGCTTGGTGTAGGCAGAAAAGTTAAAATTACAACGGAAAAAAGACCTCTGTAATCCCTGCTAGCACGGGCTGCACGCAGAGCCCTCGCCGCCCTGCCGATGCTGTGCTGGGGGTGCCCGGTGTGTGCCGGGGCCAGCCTGGCACCCTCCTGCACCCCGGCTGCTTTGCTCCCAGCTCCTCAGGACTGCGCGGCGCCGGCAGCTTTGGAGGAAGGTGCAAGGCCAGCAGAGTCTGCAGCAGCCAGAAAAGCTGCTTCCTGGGGCGAGAGCTGCTTAATACCTCCAGGAGAGAAAAATCCTAAGCCTGAAGTGTTAGGCTTTGGCTGTCTTTCAACAGTCATTACCATCCAGCACAATTCAGCTCTAAAAAGAAAAAAATTGCCATGTCTCTTTTTTTTTGGGAAATGGAGGAGAGAACTTATTCTATTTGCCATGTCTCTTTTTTTGAGAAAGGGAAGAGAGACTAACATGCTGTTGTAAGGAGTTTGGACACTGGGAAATAAAAGGTCAGGATTTTTAGTTTGTTGGGTTTTTTATTCCCTCCCCTATGACCACTGCTGAATTCATCTCAAGTCATGCTCTAAGCCTTGGTCCCTTGGGTGGCACTTGGCAGCTGCAGGCCTGAGGGGAGCAGGGAAGGGGCCCTGGTTGTGTGGCTGGTGCCAGCTCTGATTCAGCCCTTTCCCCCATGCACATGGGGGCTGTGGAAACCAGGGCTAATGCTGGCCCCCTTCACAGACCAGAAAGCCCCTGGGCACACACCCCTGGCAAGGGGCAGAGCTAAGCCTCCCCCAGCTCTCCTCCTGGCCTAATAAACAAACAAATAAATCAGTCTCAGGCTTTTCTTGGTGCTGACAGAGCCTTCCCTTGCTGCCATGGGGTGACCTGAAGGGCAGCTCCCCCCGGGGATGGAGAACCCAAGGGGTGTCCAGGCTCCCAATGCCCCCGGCAGGTCAAGCCTGGGATGCTGCTGTGACCCAGCACTGCCCCACACCTGAGGGCTGTGTTTTAAATTGTTTAAAAAAAAAGAAAAAGGGAAAGAGTGCCCATGCTCACCCTTTGGACCCCTCGTTGGGATTACTGGTCCCAACGGCTGCTGGCCCTGGGGGACCCCAACTTTGCAGGCAGCCTCTGTAACCTGAAATATGCCATCTCGCACTACAGGGGGGCACAAACCCAACCAGTCAAAGCCCAGCGTAGAAACCCCACATACCGGGGGCAAAGAGCTGGGGGCGAAAACCCACGGGTGGGGCAGCAGGCAGGGCAGGCCGGGGGGGCCGGGGCTGTTGTGCTGTCCCAGGGAACAGGGGCCGCACAGAAATTGGGGTGGCTGCAGCGGCGAGTCCCTGGCAGAAGCCCCACTAGATGGTGCCAGGAGCCCACGCACGGCCCCGGCGCCGCTCGCCCCGGGACTCGTGTCTGCAGGAGCTCGACGGGGGGGTCCGGCTGTCCCGCGCCCCACCGGGCTCTGCTGTCCCCCCACCAGCACCCCATGGCACTGGGCCATACTGGGAGCGCAAAACGGGGCAGGCTTCCCCCCACCCCGTGCAAGCCCGTCCAGCAAAGTGTTTTGTGGGGAGCAGGTGCCTCTCCGGCCCCAAACTGCCCGGACCGGGATGAAAGGATGCTCGCCTGCCCTTCCAGCATCAGCCTGTCTTTTTGGTTTGCTCTTCTGGTAACAGGGATCTTCTAAACCAGTCATCATTTCATCAGAGTACTAAATTCTTCAACATTGGTGAAAACCCCTGAGGAGCTGGTGGGAAAAATCTTGTAGAAATGAAAAAAAAATATTCTGCTTGTGGCCCCAGTAAGAATTAGCCCATGAGCTGCAACTGGCAGCAAACATTTAAGTTTAATTATCCACAGGAGTCCACCAGGAAGAGGGAGACAGAAAGAGGAGGAACCGCACAGTGAAAAAGGTGGGAACTGAAAATACAGCATTTTTCCTCACAAGAATATCATAAACGGACCCAGGGCAGGTGCTGGCCACGGTCACCACGCTGTGGTTGTAGTAAAACTTGGTGGCCCTCTTGCCTTGTGGGACTGCAGGTGTGAGCATCGCCTCAGGACCCCCCTGGGGCTTCAGGGATGCAGATGGGCGTGGGGCAGGGGACACTGGAGACACTCTGTGGCTCTCCAGGGCCACCCAGCCTGCCTTCAGCAGCAGCCACAAGCTGAAGAAGGCAAGAACAAGGTAAATGCATGAAATCCCTCCTGTGAGCATGTCTGTGCTTGTGTGCATTCACACCGGCCATATGTTACCCCCCCTGCAAGGCGCTGGGCCCCTGCCCTGCCTCCTGGGGCACCCTTCAATGCCTCCTTCGGTCACTTATCCCCCACCAGCCTCCACAGGAGCCAGCACCTCCTATGGGCAGGATTCTGGAAATGAAAAATTTGGCATAAATAGGGAAATCCAGG